AGGTTTCTTCTGAAGAACAACTCATGCTTAAGGTTAATAATTCAGGTGCTTAAGAACTGGCCAGTAGGAATTGCAAGCCAGTACAGTGTATTCAAATAAAGCCAAGAAACAGAGCCATGTTGGGACTGGTGGCTTTTGTGAAGATGGTTAAGGGGTGAAAAGGAACTTTTATTTAGTGGATATTTTGATTTTAATCTTCAGTTTTGGAAGTGCGAGTCTCACAGTGTCACACAGCACTGTCCTGTCTGTGGGAAGAAGGTTTAAGTAGACCTGCAGAGAATGTTTACACAGTGAACTAGTTGTTTAGTCAAATCATTGTCCATCTCTAGCCAAGGACACGCTGATCTTGGTGTTGGTGCTCGTTATCTGTTTCTCTGACAGAAAACAGCAATCCTAACTACAATCGGTGTCTTGGAGGAGCCACTGGGGAACGCTCGTCTTCATGGATCTCGTCTAATAGCTGCTCTGCTCCACACAAACACTCCCAGTATTAATCAGGAACTATGCAGACTCAGTACCATGAATTTATTACTTGTGAGTAAACCAGTGTGATGCTGTGACTGGGGAGAGGGGGAATCACTTTGCCCTGGGAACAGTTTTGCTTTCCCTTCTGTCTGTTCAGTGCGAGCTGGTTTGGTTCACGTGTGCCAGTGTCTGTTTTTCTGATCTGCTGAAAGCAGGAACATCCATCCTCAGAAGAGCTTTTGTCATACAAGTGTCATCACTTGGTATTTTGAACTGAACCTCATGCTTCACATTTATTGTTCCAGTAGTTCCATCATGTGTGTGCAGAGTACTCTGGTTTTGAGGAAGCTTGGGTATGTTGGGTTTCTCAACTCTCCCGAGACCTGAGCTTTTTCTCTAGCTGTGAGCAGGGACCTGTTCTGAAAACTGCCACTACAGTCTGGGCAGTCTTTCAGAAAATTATTTTTATACTTTGAAATTATTGAGTTAATATGTTTCTTGTGATTAAGTCAGCCACAGAAGAGATAACCCCTTTTTTTTAGTGTGTCTGTGTACGAGAGGATTTCCAGTGTGCTCAGTTTATTGGAAGGTATCGATTACAGCAAAGCAAACAGGGCACATGCAGCTATAAGCAGATACTGCAGCATATAAATAATGTTTTTTAGTGGAATTGCTGATTAAACAACTAGTCAGGCACTGTTCTCATATCATTTGATAGTTAAGAATGGGAATATGTATCTAGAGTGATTTTTTTTTCTCATTTTGTTCCAGGACTTATTTTTTAAATACACATGGAATAACTTTTTGCATTTCCAAGTGGAATTGTCTATAGCAGCTATTCTCTCACACTCTGTGCAAGAGGGAAAAACTACTACTAATGACCTAGAGAGCAAAGAAGAGGTGCTGAATGGAAATGTGGCCACAGAGAACTCAGAGACTCCAGAAAACAATACCGAGAATATCATGGTTACTCATGTAAGTCTGGTCGTGTCACCTGAGAATTTTAGACTGATTGGTTCAACATGAATATTCATTAACAAGAAAATAGCATGTTCAAGGGCATGGAGTTTATTTCAAAGGGTCTAGATATAACTTGTGGCAATTCTGGATGGAAGTGTATTGGGTTTTGTATCTTTAGGATCCAATTACAAAATAAACATACCACCCATTTCATTTAATGGGCTTCCTATTTATTTATATTTTAATAAAGATGCATATAAACTTTGGGCTAAAAAAAATAATAACTACAACCAGCAAACTACATTTTAGCTTCTGTGTTGCAGCCCTGATGATGAAATTGGTAAAATGACAGCAATATTCTGCATTGCTGCTCACATGAGGCCCAAAAGCAGCATGAAGGTGTTTCTAGGTATTGCTGTTTTCCCTAGAGCTTCTGAGTAAAAAAAATTGAGAAAGAAGAAACTTGAGCCCTGGGGGAAGATAAATGCTGAACTTTAAGTTCTTGTTCAGTCGGAGTGAAGGAATGAACAAAAGTAACTCCAGTTCAGAACAGACTTCCTGAGGCATGAGTCTTCCTTTGGCAAACTTCTGAATTGTTCTTCCTAGCTCTCTTTTTTTTTCCCCTTTTAGCTGTTCCAGAAATGCTGCCTCGTGCAAAGGATATTGGATGCCTGGGAAGCCAACGACAAGATACAGTAAGGGATTTTGGGTTCAGAAAGCCCTTGTTCAAGGGCAGCAGATTTTAAATATTGCTTTGAAATATTCTTTTAACTATTTGGATCATTTATCTATAGGATTATCACTATTTGGATATTCTTTTAACATTTTGGATCCATGGGGATTGGAACTAGATGATCTTTTAGGTCCCTTCCAATCCAAACCATTCTATGATTCTATGATTTACAATTTAATGGTGTCTAAAATGATTGGGATTTCAGTTGTGATTTGGAATTAGGATTATTTCATAGAATCAAAGAATTGTTTGGTTGGGAAAGACCTTTGAGATCATCGAGTCCAACCGTACCTGTCCACTGCTACACCAGATCTCTGAGCACCTCATCATCATACATGTTAAAAAGTAAATTCACCAAATAGGCAAATCATTTGAAAGCATGATTTTTTTTTTTTTCAGATGCTGATAACATCTCAACCCAAATACACAGTGTGGTTCTTTCTTGCTTTCTCATGAAATTAGTTACATAGCATATTAACCTTTTAAAAAATCTATAATTCTATTATCCCTAGAGTGAGTAACTGCATGGAAGCTGATGTGGGCAAGCATTTTTGCCCCAGATTTGCCCCACATTTCATATTCTAACTTTATTTTCTTAGATTAGAAATTACTTACCTCACTTAGATTTCTCCCTAACTGCACTGATTATAAGAACTAAATAATTAAAAAAACCTAAAACATATTAAAGCTGATACATTATTTAGGCTTCTGTTTCTTTGTCCATCTCAATGTTTTGGTCCTCCCTCACTATTTTGAGCTCCTTATGACTTCAAAGTGCTTTGTAATCCCACTGTAATTATTTTAGGCTTACTGTCAGGCCATAATTGGTGGGTTGGGTTTTGGTTTGATTTTTTGGTTTGGTTTGGGTTGGGTTTTTTGTTTGCTTGTTTGTTTTTTTTCCCCTCTTGCAACCCCTTGGGCTTACAAATGGGCTTGCAACCCTTTGGGATAACGAATTTTGCTGATAGTTTTATTGCACAGCTATCATTGTGCACAGTTCTGTAGGTAACAGAAATATCTGTGGTTGCTGCTTGAGAGTTTTCCTAATTAAATTAGATACGAACTAGAGCTCATATATATTTAATGCCAAATAGTTCCAGTCACCACACTGGAAAGAATTTGAATGGCAAGAAAAAAATACTGAGTTAACCAAAGATATCTCAGATGGTGGGCTTTAAATTTGATGTTATAGGAAAGTTATTGTAGGTACTCAGTGAAGAGTCAAGTGTTGAAACCCCAGGGTCAGGGATTCCACATGGAGAGCTTGGGAATTACATCATCAGCAAGGATGGTGGTGATAGATTTTCCTGTTGGGAGATGGAATTTCTCCTTGAGTTCTCTTCTGTTTTAGTTATTCCATGTGTTTGTGATAAAGGACTTTGTAACAACTAGAACTGAACTTCTAGGTAACCCAGCTAATTCTTTTGCTGCAGTCCATTTGATCTGCCTAGGTAATTAGAATTTAAAATACAGTAAGACTGGTCATCGATGTGAGTTGACAGGAAACAACAGTTTACTGTAGCACGTCTTTTTTTTGCCTTCTCACTCACATAAATGTAGTAAGCACTAATTGTGGCCTGGTTGCTAAAAAACATTTGAAAGTGTTGAAATAAAAGTTAATTTTGCATGTTTGCTGCCTGTGTTCCAGCAGCGTGTTAAGGACTGCTCAGAATAAGTGTTGTGTTGGTCCTCCTGGAGCACACAGTCGGAGAAGACAGATGCAACATCACTGTAGGCTGCTTTTATCACCATACACATTCAATTTTTGAGAAAGCCAAGCTTTGGGGTTTGCTGGAAAACAGCCATTTTTATTGGGAGCAGTAGGATGGTGCTGCTGACCATGTCAGGGCTCGTTCCAACAGCTCTAAGCCCTGAATCTGGGGTTCAGGTGCTGACCTTACTGCAGGACACATGTACAGATACAATTTGTATTGGCTTTGTGCTGTGGATTTTCGTAAAGGAACATGTGGAGGGGTAGGACAGGTTTTTTTTTCCAAAACCATCTTGTCTCTTCACCTCTGTGTGTTCAGCTCCAGCATTAGGAGAAAGCACGAGATACTTTCAGTAGAATCTTACCATTTATAGAGATTCAGGAGGTGATCACAGTCTGGGTTGGGTTGGAAGGGACCTGAAAGCTCCTCCAGTTCCAACCCCCCTGCCAGCAGCAGGGTCACCTTCCACTATACCAGGTTGCTCAAAGCCTCATCCAACCTGGCCACAAACACTTCCAGGGAGGAGCAGCCACAGCTTCTCTGGACAACCTGGGACACTGGCTCACCACCCTCACACCAAACAATTTCTTCCTCACATCTCAGCTCCATCTCCCCTCTGCCACTTTCAAGCCATCACCCCTTGTCCTGTCACTCCCTGCCCTTGGCCAAAGTCCCTCCCCAGCCTTCCTGGAGCCCCTTCAGGTACTGGGAGGCCACTAGAAGGTCTCCCCGGAGCCTTCTCTTCTCCAGGCTGAACAGCCCCAACTCTCTCAGCCTGTCCTCACAGCAGAGCTGCTCCAGCCCTCGCATCATCCTCCTCTGGTGGCCTCCTCTGCACTGGCTCCAGTAGCTCCATGTCCTTGTGCTGTTGGTGGCCCCAGCACTGGAGGCAGCACTGCAGGTGGGGTCTGAGGAGAGCGGAGCAGAGGGGCAGAATCCCCTCCCTCCACCTGCTGCCCACGCTGCTCTGGGTGCAGCCCAGGACACGGTTATTGGCCTCTGTGCTGCCAGCGCACGGTGCCGCCTCATGTTGAGCTTCTCATCCCCCAGTGATGATTACACTATTCAAGGGATGTGAGGGTGGTAAAGAAAGAAAAAAAGCTTTTCAATGTAGCTGTAAGTGCCTGTGATGGATGGGGAGAGCTGCTGCTGTCTGATGGTTTTGCTGTATCCAACCTCGCAGCTTTGACTGCCACCCCAAATGCCCCAGCAAGGGTAGGGAAGAGTTTACACGAGCACTCAGAATTAACTCTGATGTATTTAGTGTCTTCCTCTCACTTAAGGAAAAGTGAAAATCTTTATTATGTGTTGGCTCTGTTAGTGTCTCAGAGAGAAAGCTTTGTGTTACACCTGGAGACTTAGTAACATGGTGGGAACTTCTCATCCTGTTTGTAAGGGGTTTATTTTTGTTTAGTTTCATTCTGACCCACCAGTTTTATTTGTGGTGGCTTAAGTTCACCTTGCACTCTCCTTGGGCTACATCAAGAAGTAATTATCTCTGAATTTGACTTCAGGACTTGGGCTACATTCATGTGAATAATGTTCCAATGAATATTAGTATTGTGTGTCAGAGTTTTGTCTGAGCTTCTTTTCAGCACCTGCAGGTTTAAAGGCAGAAATGCTGTTTCTAAATGCGGTGAAATTTCTCCCCTGTATTAGGATTTACATTTTTCTTCCCAAATCTCATCAGTCCTTCTTTGGATATTGTGGGAAGTGGAATTGTTTCTGACTTTTCATCCCCTGATTTTTAGATTGCTGCTTTGCTATCCAGTGAAGGAGAACCAATGAAGATTCAAAGAGAAGCGACTTAAAGACTGCTTGGACTTAGCGTTAGCTTCTTGGACTTGTTTTATTGCAAGGGAGAAATCTGGTGGTTGTAGATGAGTGTCTTTTGTTCTCTTCAATTCATCTGCTTAATACTTCAATTGCAAGTAAAATTCAAAAGCTTTTTCAGTAGTAGTGCTGTAAATTCTTATTGCTGAGAGTTTTCTTTAGTGAAAATCATAACCAGATTATTCATTTCTGCACTGCACTTCCAGTGCACCCAGTTAGCTCACTCCTTGTGCCTGGCTTAAGTGTTCTCTGGTGCACTGGAACTGAGTGATCCCTCCCCTCTCAATATTTCTGGATCAGCACCAGTGTGGCCAGTAGGAG